AAGCCCCCCACCAGCATTCTCCCTGGATCCTGCACCCCTGAAGGGCTGTAGATGTTGGTTTGAAGTGTGATATGTAGGTTGCAACCCACCCATAAAGCACTTCAGAGCCCCAGGCCTACAGTCACAAGCACAGGGCTGCAGGTGCAGGTTTTAAATCATGAGGTGGGAGGGGAGCCCACTTCTTTCCCCCCCAAAAGTTACACCTTGTCGTACCCTGGTCTGTTCTCAGAGCCCGGTGACCCCTTCCCTGTCATGGACCTGGCCTGACCTGCTCTTAACCTCACCATTAGAGCCCCCTACCCCTCACACCTGGAAGCCCTGAGTAGTTCCTCTTGGTGTTAAGGGGGTTTGATTTGCTTAATTGTTGATGGGAACTGTGCTGTTTGGGTATGGGATGAAACAAAGCTGCGTCCTCCCTCCACCACTCCCCCCATCACTGGGAGCAGACCCCACTGCCTTCCCACTCCAGACAAGAACCAGCCCACTCCCCGCCCCCTCCCCCCTGGGACCAGAGACCCCAGATCTTTGCCCCCTCCCCACCCCTATTAAACTGAACTCACCCAACCTTAACCCCTAGACCTACAAGCACCGAACCCCAGTCCAGTGACACCTGACCCCAACCAGACTACCCAACCTGTGCTAGAACTGGGTCTGATGGCAGGTGCCAGAGGGATGAGTATACATTGAGCAGCTGGAGGGGAAATGGACCATTTTGAAAAGACAGCAGATGCACTCTGGGAGAGAGGAAAGTGGGGATGTGGGCCAGGCAGTCCACCCTGACCTGTGTCCTCTGGGCTGTCAACCATCTGCGGGCAGACTGCAGAGCCTGCAAAGTGCACCGGGGTGCATGTTCTGAGGCCCCTGGGCTGTATGCCATCAGTGAAGCAGTCTGTCTGCAGAGCAGGCAGCTGACCCCGTGGACTATGTACAGAGTTCTGGTAGAAGCTCCAACACCTTTACTAAGCTGCTTAACTTCTACCAGTTCATTTGAATGCCTGTACACATCCTTTATTAATAAATGTCATAAGCACACTCCAATGTGGACCAAAGTCATGGGAGAGCAACAGGTCTACCCAAAGGAAGTGAAATAGACTTTGGTGTGAGTGACTAGACCACATGTTCAGATTAAAGTGATCAGACAGAATTAAAGTGTTGAACTTTGACTGGACACCATTACCAATAACTGAACCAATGTCCCAAGAAGAAGGTGGGCTTATTTTGACCAAATTGTGAGAAAGCCAGGTTCATTTTGTCAGACAGACCCTAGAAGAGAGGTCAATTTAGAGGGGCTTTTCCCAGTATATTAAAGGTCTGAAGCAGCAACCTTTTTAACCTGAGTGGATTAAAGGAATAGCCCCAGGTTAACAAAAGGTGACTATGCCTTATGCACTTGGTAGTGCACAAAATGGATTGGGTTGGTATGAGAAATGAATTATGTTTTTTAGAGGTGGGACTATGGGAACATGTTTGATTTACTGTTTGCCATGGCTTTGAAGATTCAGATGCAAGTCAGAACTATTTACCATTTATCCTTAGAGTCCCAGCTGTATAATATTTGGCACAATTCATTTCTGTGTAGTTTTGTATTAATGAGCCGGTAGCGAAACATTGTTCTTGACATTCATGTTCCTCCATATTTTTTATTTTATGTATCCACTCTAGAGATACAGTAAAAAGTGTGTCTGATTTTAATGAATTTAAACTGCTTCACACTTTTTTTTATAAACATATATATCTTATTGAGTTATTGCTTACTTCTGTTATCATAAAATGTTATATGAAAAGCACTTTTCTTCCTTGGAAGTAAACCAGTTGATTTAAACATTCATAGTGTTTTAATTTGAAACCATTATATACGTAATGTATATCTAGATAGATAGATAGTAGGGCTGTGCAAAATGGCACCATTCTGTTTTGACTTGCGTTTTGATGTTTTGACGGAACAGCATTTTGTTTTGAATTTCATTTCGATTTGAAACTGTTGTTCCGTTTTGTTTCATCGAAACAATTTTGCTGTTTCGACGCTGTTTCGATGCTTCGTCCATAATGGGGAAGCTCAAAACAGCCTATAACTGTGTCATTTGTGGCCCGATTTGGATGAAACTTGCAGGAATGGTAGCCCCTTTTGAGGGCATGATGTCTGCCAGGTTTCAAGGAGATAGGTGCAGGGGTTTCAGGGAAACTGCACTTCAAATTCTTGAAAGCAAAAAAACTCATGTCACGTGTATGTGTTAAGCCACAGCAGGGTCAAAACTGCCTCCTTGCTAGCCCCTGCTGAGGCCATGAAGCCTGCCAAGTTTCAAGGAGATAGGTGCAGGGGGTTGGGGGAAACTGCACTTCAAGGTGCAGACAAGCAAAACTGGTGACCTGGGTGACACTATGTTTAAGGCACAGCAGGGTGAAAACTGCAGGCATGCTAGCCCCTGCTGCGGCCACGAAGCCTGCCAGCTATCAAGGAGATAGGTGCAGGGGGAGTGTGGGTTCTGTGACCCTGCACCTCTAGCTGCTGACAGGCAAAACTTGTGACATGGGTGGGTGACACTGTGTGTCTGTTAAGGTGTGCCCTCACTCAACTGACACCGAGGCAGGAAGCAGGGCAGTTCAAACAATGCTGCCTTTTATGCAGTTTTTCATCCCTCCCCCAGAGCACTGGGATTGGAAGAGATCTCAGGAAAGGATGACAGTCACTGGCAAGCTGCAGTCAATAATGAGCAGTCCTTCCCCAACCCTTCCCCCCTCTTCCCCCTCCCTCTCCTTACTTTACTTTCTGTTTCCCTGCAGGCAAGCCCATCTTGAGCTTCGAAACTTGAAATGTTTAAAACATTTCAAAACGTTTGGACTTGCCTTGTTTCATTTCAAGGCTGTTTTGAAGCTCTCTGTTTTGTTTCAGTATTGCTGTTGTGAGCTCGAAATGAGTCGAAACAGCCTTGAAACAAAACTGCCGGCAAAATTTTGCGCAGCCCTAATAGCTGTGTGTGTAACTTATATATAATTTGTAATTTATATTATACATATAAATTATATGCACATACTTAAATATATATACGTTCTATATATGGTATGTATGTAGCTATATAATTATACATATGTATGTATATGCTTAAAATTAAAAAAAATAGATAGATGTGTATTTATTTATTTATTTATTTGATTATGTTCAGCTCCTCCACAGTTTACAGTGAGCCCCAAGGACCAAGTTGTGTTAGAAGGACACACAGTAGATTTTCACTGTGAAGCAGAAGGTAACCCACCACCTGTGATTGCCTGGACCAAATCAGGTACAACCAAGTCTTATGAGATTGCATTCTTGTCCTGAAACGTGGCCAACAACAATAACAATATCATTATTGTTGTTATTCTTTAAAAACCAAAGGGAAGCCCAAGCATTTTTTGTTACTGGAAAGAGTTTCTGATTAAATACAATAAATAAATTTAATAGGGCTGTCAAACTATTCAAAAATTTGATCGTGATTAGTTGCATAATTAAACAAATGAGTTGCAATTAATTGCAACTTTAATCACCCAGCTAAAAATTCAAAATTATGAGCAGAAAAATTCAAAATTTATGCAGAATTATGCAGGTACTTTGTATGGTTGGGTGGTAGGTGCGGGGTGTGTTTATGGGATTTTGAGCCTAGGGAGAGAGGGGGCCCTGCAGGGGAGGGTCTCGACTCCGGGAAGGGCGACCCCTGCACACCCTGGCAGGATGTGGAGTACTGTGGGTTAGGAGTGAGGGGCATCAGCAGGGCTGAGGGGGATGTAGCTTGGGAGTCAGGAGCAGTAGTAGGGGCAGGGCACTGGCATATCATGCCCCCCCCAATCATATTACCCTCCTCCACCACAGGTTTCCTCTTTTTTGAAACTGGAAATATGGTAACCCCACAGGAATGCAGCCTGGCAGCTTGTAGAGCAGTGCACAGCAGATAAGTCTGTGAAGAGGAAGGGGCAGGGGGGAAGATCAAGGCCCTTATGGTGATGGAGGGTGTAGGGCAGGGAAGGGGCAGCAGCAGGGGTGAATGGGACTGTGCGGCTCGAGTGGGTCATGGGACAGAGCCGGGGGAGGTTTGTTCAGGGATGCTGGAGGTGGGGGAGGGGCAGCTCCCTGCCACTGCATGCACCCCCAGGGAAGGCATGAGGGGCATTTGCCCCCAGATATGTGCACGTGGCAGAGGTGGGCTGCCCATTTGCCCCGAAAGCCACACACTGGCTGTGCGTCCCCTGCCTGCCCAGCAGCAGGTGGCACAACTAGGCATTGTGCAGCTCCTGGGGCAAAGGCAGCAGGGTGCATAGCCCAGCCTGCAGCAAGCAGCCCACCTTTGCCCCAACCACAAATCTGGCAGGCACATGCCTCCCATGCCTTTCCCGGGAGAGTGCGCAGCAGTGGGGAACTGCCCCCGCACCCCTGAATGAGTCTCCTGTGGCTCCATCCCATGACCCACCCCGGCCCTGACTTTGGCCCCAGGGTTGCATTCATCCCTGCCCCTGCCCTACTCCCTCCCTTACTATGGAGGCCTTGATCTGCCCCCCTCCCGCCCCTTCCCTCTCTCTCTGCCTCTTCCCCTTTCCCTCCACAGACTTATCTTCTCAGTGCTGCTCTACACGTTTCCGGGCTACATTCCTGGATGCATGCATGCATGCATGCTGCAGCTGCACACCTGCATGCAGTATCCCTATATGGCACCAATATATCAGTGCACCTCTAGTGTGTCTGTTTCTGTGTCTCTGTGTGCTCCTCCCTGCCCCCCCCCCTTCCTGCTGCAGCAGCCCAAAATCAATGCAGTAATTGGCTCTTGTGTTAATCGCATACATTAACTGTGATTAATTGACAGCCCTAAAATATAAGATTTAAAAATTCCAGTATGAACACAGGTATGTAGGCACTATGACTTTCTTGAACCTCCCCTTTCTTGCGATTCTTTTGGTTGAGAAATCTACCTGACTAAAATACAAAACTATTAACAGCAGCAGGTCATTAATATACTGAGATTTTTTTTAATGAGAGCTGCAGTCATCAGTGTTAGACTCCATATTTGGATAGGATATGTTCTTGTGAGAAGAATGAAATGGATTATTTAAACTGGGGTCAGCAACATACAGCCTTCTATCCCTTGAAGAGATCAGATCCAGCCTTTGGCAGCAGGGATCAGTGGCATATAGCAACATTTTTCTGTCCGAGGCAGTTTGACACTTGTGGAGTGTCTAGCAGAGGGTCATCCTAGCCCTCCTTGCTCTGTGCTCAGAGGTGTTCTCATGCTCTGCTGCTGCAGATGTGCTTACCCTCGTCTCCAAATGTAGCTTGTCATTGGCTATGGGAATCAGTTGCAGTTGGAGACGACAGTAAGCAGAGCCCGGGGGAGTCTGGAAGAGGGCAGCCCTGGGCACAGAGCAGGGAGGGCTGGAGCAGGGTGGAGGGAATTGGAGGCCCACAGCAGTGGCTGGGTCACAAGTGGTGACCTGCTCTTCTTAAAGGTTGCCAACCCCTAATTTAAACCATTATTGTCTGGTTTATTCTCTGAAGAGATCAGAGGAGAATGTCTGCTAGTAGGGAGATCCAGTCTTCAATTTTGGTCTAATGAAGAGAAAACAATTTGGTGAACCTTAAATTAGTCCTGTACTCCCTAGGGGTATTTGTGCAAACAGCAAGAGCTAAAATTATATAGAGTGTGTAATCTTATTGTATATTTTTAGCCAAAACTGGAAAATATATGATATTATTGTTTATTTTTACAGTGGGTTTTTAGTGAAAGTGGTAAATAGACAACTAATTAGATAAGTAAAGTACTAAAGAGAAGTAATTTGACTAATATAGTCTGTCATTTGTATTTTTCTAAATTCTCTTATGTCTTCATATGCACAAGTATGTACATGCATGCGTTCCTAGTGTGCTCTGTTTTCTTTCACTGCTGTCCTTTTCAGTGCCAGGTTATTCACTTTCCTCATCATGTCTGGAATTCCTTCAGTGAATTGGTTTGCAAGGCAGTTTTCATTTCCTAATTTAGATTCCTCTTAAGACCTATTCCTATTTCAGTATGCATGGAAGGCACAATAAAGATGCCATTTTTATTTTATAGGACATTGTAAAAAAACCCAAATTATACCAGGCATACGTCATTACAAAGTAACCATGTGACTTTATTGATGTGACGGTTGTCTTTTCCACTTTCAGCTCCACTGTTTAGTTTCCCCTTAATTTTTATATGCCTCTGAGCAACTTCTAGAATATATGTATTTCCTGAGAGGTGCCTGCTAATAGAGCAATTTTGTGTTCTGAAAATATAATAAATAATTATGAAGGAAAATGTTACAGTTTATCCCAAATCTCATTTTACCTTATTTAGTTCTTTTTTAATTTAGTACATTGATTTGCCTTCATATGAGCATGGGCAACTCTGTTCAATAAGATTTTTGCATGCTTAACTGAGGACAGAGTATGACACACGTAATTTTAAAAATAGCTGTAGATATTAAAACCTGTTTCATATAACTGCTGCTTCTTTTTAGGTGGAGTAGTTATATCCAAGCAAGCAATAATAAAATAAGCTCATCTCATTTTAATACATTGGAACCATTTACTTTTACAGAACATATGGATATTTGTAAACAATTTGTAGTTTGATGGTAAATTACTCTCTGGGCCTCAGTCCGTCCTGAAATCACTGGGAGTTGCAGGGATCCAATCACGACCTAATCACCCTGGAATTACACGACCAAGACTTTTTTATTTAGTAAATAACTTTGGTTTTGTATTGTGATACAAAAAATTTAGGGTCAACTAACTTTCTACCAATTAATATTAATCAAATTCTGTGTGCAGCTCTGGAAAAAGATGTCCTTTTATACCAATTCAGGTTTAATTTTTTTTTTTTTTTTTTCATAATACACATTTAGATTGTTTCCAAAAGTAGCTTGAATCCTTACAAGGGTTTCAGGTTGACTTAAGAATGGTATGTTCTACCAAATAAAGCACCCAGGACTTATTTTAGCTTCTGTTCCCAGCTATGATGATTCTCTGCTTAGGCATATAGTATGTAAGTCATTTAATTTTTCTGTGCTTCTGAGTTTCTTTTTTCTATAAAAATGTAATGGCAGCAATACTACTTTTCTATAAAGCACCTTAAGTTGTGTAGATGAAAAACACCAAATAAGATCTAAATACTGTGATCTCTTGAGTCCATACCATATCATAGTGGCTGTTCCAGGTTATCTCACCCATCAGTAACAAGAGGATATACTAGTATGATAAAAGACAACTCACTATCTATCAGTGTTATTAAAGCTGGCTGATAACAATGTTTGAGACTCATTATTCCTCACCCAAAGACCCCCTCTACACAGTCAGGTAAAGCTATGATGGGATTTAATGCATGATTCACACAACTGTACCTCTTGCCATGCCACCCGTGATTGTAGGATTGCACATTAGATCCCATCATATGCCTTATTGCTGGTGCAGGGGGAGCCCAATCCCAGACTGTGGGACTCTGTAAAACTCTGGATCATGGCAACTGTGGAGTGCTGCTGGGACCCAGGGTTCACAGCTGCTGGGGCTGAGTTCCCAGCAGTTGCAGGACTCTCAGTCCCAGATGTA